CTTTGCCAGAATTGAAGCAAAGTTAATTCTGTCTTTATAAATAACTTTTTATGCTGGTGGTTTTTTGTGAACCTTTAAATATTTAATTAAATCACAGAGTTTCTGGATCTTTCTTTTGAATATGTTTTACTTATGTATTTATCATTTTTAAACTTTTTTGTAAGTAGCTGTAAATCATTGAAAAACTAAAGAGAAAAATGGTTTTAGTTTTACAATGTAGCTAAGAAGATATTTTCTAACATCTCAGAAACAGACCTCAGAGTTGCTTATTCAATATCAAGAGTTATCGTTACCAGGGATAGTTCACGTTATTATAAAAGAGGGATTTGGTATTGGGATGTTGTAAACTAGGTCTGAGCTCTTTATTTTCTGAAAGGAGTAGAGCAGGACACCTTTGGCTGAGGTGAACCTGAATGTTGTCAGACAGTTGAGATCTCCCAGGTAACATTTCCTCAAGTGGGGTTTTTAAGAATGACTAAAATTTGTTCTCCTCCAAGCAGGGTGTTTACTTTCTGCGCCCAGTGTTCTCCAGATAATGTGCAGTGCTGCACTTACCTTTAGAATCAAGAAACTTCCTTGAGCATTACTTCAACCTGTGGGCTTTATTGATTTGAGATGCAAAAAAATTGTATGATTGTATGGCAAAACTTTGGTTATTATAACTAGATCTAAACAAGAAAGACTAACATCAGTTTTGACAACAAACAAAACCAGTTTTTGTTCTATCGGTTATGTTTAAGAGATTCCAATTTCAAACCAAACACAACTTGTGGTTATTCTGTCAGATATTTATATAGCCACTGGGGCGCCATAGTTATGCACCGCATACATCATTGTATTTTTAAAATGTACTTAATGAACATTTTTTCTTTTCTGGTAACTACTTCATTGCTTTAAATGAATGCATTCCAATAGAATTTGTAACAAATGAGCACTTTGTGTTTGCATTAATGCCAAACACGTTTAACAAATTTTTAACAAGGAACACTGGCAAAAAGCCAAACTCCTAGAGGGACACTGAAGGAATGCTATAAATTTAAACTAGATTTTACCTTTTCACTCTGCTCAACAAGTGTCTAAGGTGTCTTTGGCATCTCAGCATTGAAAATTCTCTACATAGGTTGGGTACAAATTTATGCCTTAATTATTTTTCTTCTTGGCCCTCCTCACTAGAGATTTCCATGTCGATATAACAGGCTTTAACAGGTTACTGTATTCTTTAGAAAGTGAGAGGTGGGTTTTCTTTCTTTCCTCAAGAGTTAGGCCAGGAGGAAGTAGCAAAAGCAGCATTTATTGTTGGGCTGTAATGACAGGGAGGTTCAAACAGCACATATCGTGCCATTGTCACATCCTGTGTTAAGGGACCTCTGCAGTGCAAGCACTGCAGCAGAACTGTGCTACCCAGTTTTGTTGCTTGTGCTGAGTTGCAAATATCTGGGCTGTGATCGTGTTTGCAACTGCACTTCAGGGGCAGGGGGAAGCAGCCCACAGGGCTCCTGCTGGCCCCAGCTCTGAGCTCACACAGAAGCCACGAACAGATTTTTGGCTGAATCAAACTTCTGGGGGGTTTTTCAGTTGTTAAGTTATGCCCACATGGTACATGTCAGTACAGACCTTGGGAATCACCTACTCTGTAATACATGTTCGTATTAAAAGTGTTACAAGTAGCTCCACAAACCACATGCTTGCTCTTTACTTGTAACTTAATATATTAATTTAATTTTTACTGTGTTATTTCAGTTTTAATCAAATGCAGGAACTGAAAAATAATAATACTTAGCACTCATCCAAGACTTTTAAGGCACATTACAAACATTAAGCCTTGCAAATTCCTGTGAGGAGCCTGATGTTATGCCTGCTGTAGCAATGAGCAAGTTAAGCACAGAAAAATGATATGACTTTTTCCATAGTCCTGCAACAGACTGGTGTCAGGCGTAGAATTTAGAATGAATTTAGTTTAGAATTTAGTTAATAGAGCCATTCTTTTCATGGTTTTTCACAAAGGTAAAAATTGAGAATGCTTTTTTTCACTCCCTCCTATAATTTACATGATGTTGTTGCAAGAGGCATAGGCAAATTCCAGGACATCACTTGAGAAAGATTTTATGAGTTATAGCCTTATTCCAGTCTAGTTACTTGTTTCCAGAAAATGAAATAATTTCCCATCATTTGTTGGTACTCTGATTGCAGTAATGATGAATGAGTCTGGAGAAGGAAACTGAGGAATTCATCCTGACAGCTTTTTCAAGGATGTCACGTTATAGTGCAGAGGCCTTGTCGTAGATCAGGGAACAGAAATAGCCCTCACAGGTTTTCATTAATGATATCCTTCTCTACTAACATTTGGTCAGATACCAGTTCCCTGCAATAAAGTGTCTATTCCCTCTCTTTCTTACTCGCTAATTACCATATCAGTTGTTGGCCTTTTATGTAGGTACCATGTGTAACAGGTTAGGAGAGGGCAATTTAAGCCTATGTGAATGGGTATCTGTTTTTGTATCTGGGTGCTTGTTGCAAACATTTGGAAAGCATATGGAGCATAATGGACATTAACCCAGATGTCAAAAATAGCCTGCATTTTACTACTGTTATTAAACAGTTTCCCCTTTAACCCCTTTGTGTTTACCCACCCTCTCCAGCTTGTTTCTGCAAATCACTGCTGAGAGGAAAGGATTGGAGGTAAAAAGTACTAATCAGGCAGGTGTCTTTATCCAAAGGAAAAACAATCTGAACAAATATTTGTGGGCTACTACACTTTTATATCTTCACATCCTTCTGCTGTTTTCATTGACTGGTATCTAATGGACTGACAGAGGTGCCAAACTCATAAGACATTAATTTCAGCTGGAGCACTGCTGAATTCAGGCCCAATGCATGTTACCAAACTTTATTTCTGTTTTAGAGGTTCAGTGACTTTTACCAAGTGCAGCATTGAAGAAACAAATATAAATTTAATTTACTCAACCTCAGTTGGTATTTGACAGCAATATCCTTTTATATATTTATTTGACTTACTTGAGAAATACTTTGCATTTCCTGCCTGTGGCGAACAAGTTTTTGTTACACTTCCAATACATATACGGTTTCCTGATGAATGGGTGGGTTGATTAAGTGGGTGAGGTTTATTTGGGGGCTTTCATTCTGTACTAAAACACCAATGAAAATCTGAGGACTGGGCTGGAGAGGGAGTGCATTTTGTGCTTTGTTGCTGTTCCTCAGATTGGACATTTTATTCTGGGTTCTTATTTTTTCTGAGCATAAAAGTGTTAATTGCAAAGGAACTTCAGCTTGTTAAATAGGAACTACATTGAAGATTTGCTGTGATTACATTTTAGTTTAAAAACCCTAGGCATTATTGTGCTGCAGTTTCTGGAATGTGCTCTCCTCATTAATTTATAGGTGTGCTTCCTCTGCCCCAGTATCTCTTTGAATGATGATTAAGAAACTCTCAGCACACAAAAGAATGGGAGCTATGCACAGTTCACCAACGTAATGCATGCGCTGACTTACAGTTTTCATAAAAAGTTTGCAACGATTTTATGTGCCAGAACTAGTAACATGATCTACTTTAGGAACTCCCTGGCTTTCCAGCTCTGCAGAAGTCATTTTTAGACTGTTCAAGGGCCAGATCCAAAACTTGTTAAAATCGGTGGGAACCTTTCCATATTTCAGTGGGCTTTGGATTATTCCCTGAGTGTTCTGACCAGAAGAATTGTACCAACTGCTCACTGCAAAAGTAAAATTCATCTACATTTGTATGACATAAACTGTTATGTGTGCTTTCCAGCAAGATGTGAAGTTGAAAATAGGGATTTAAAATAATACGATAATTTATTCTGTAAACAGTGTTTCATTTTACTCACAGAATAATTTATCTGATAAATATTAGATTCTGAAATTTTAAAGGGAAATTTTAGTCAAGTAGTTCTATTTTAAAAAACCCCAACTTTCCAACTGTATACAAAACCCTAAGCATTGTATGGCAAATTCTTTTTCATAAAATTGGATGTTTTGGAAACTTTTAAGGTTACATAAATGGAAGAGCAATAATGGAGAATGCCATACCTAATGCATTTCAAATTTTCTAGGAACAAAGTCAGTGGATAAATGAACAACTGCCCTCTAAAGGAATAATTTGATTCCTCCCACTCATCTGATATACAGATAATGTGAATAAGACCAATTCATTGCTCTCTGTTCAAGCACACCATGCTGTTTGCTTGCAGCACAGCTAAAGCAACAACAGAAATCACTGAGGCCTCTCTCTGTTGTCCCAATCAGACAGAGACTCATCCTAAATCGGTGGAAGGCAGGAAGATTCTTCCCACTGGCTGAGCTGTGCTGACACCAGCTCCCTCTTGCAGTCCCCTGGGTTTCAGCAGTGCCAGCCAAGGCAGGCAGAGCACCTGTGATTAGTGGGTGTGTGGCTCAAAACCTCCTAACACATTGCTAACTTCTGCAAATCTGAGCTTCTTGTGTCCATAAAACCTTTCTCCACTGTTCTGCAAATTAAAGTAGACTTAAAGTGCTTAAAATATGACAGGAAAATGGTGCTTCAGTTTTGGAAGGCTGATAGAGGTACTACACATTCCCACCTGCCACAGAATAGGGTGGAAATAAACCAATTATTCCCTTGGTTCCCACAGAAAAATATTTAATTTTATTAATAGCATTTCCCTTTCAAAGTTACTGTGCTTATGGACAAGATCATAAAACTCACTGTTTACAGAATCACAAGCACAACAGAATTTGACATCTTACGAATTTAAAATATTTCCCATGTAGGGGGAATCATGTCATACAAATTACCAATAAAACTAATTGCCACCCTCTGAACATAAGTGCATTCAAATTGAATTGAAATGCCTTACTTAATCCTCAGCCCCTAGAAAAGCATTATCTCCACCCATATGTATGAGAATCTTGATTAGATGAGAACTAAAATGTTCTGGATGCTTCAGTTATGTCATTAATTGGAATATTTTTTTCCCTTGTTACAGTTGTCAGAGGAACTAGTGAAAGAGGAAGAAAAAACTGTAGCACTGGAAGGTAACAATGATAATCTATTGCATTGGATCTCCAAACATGACCATGATATCCTGGAGAAGATCACAGATGCAGAAAATGAATGCTAAGGTTGATATCTAATGAAATGCTGCATTGATTAGCATTTTCTCCATTATTTCTTGTAGTCTATTGTGAAATTAGATACTTTGGAAAGTAATGAAGGAGACTCAAGCAGAAATTATAAGAGCTTCATTTCTGTCTTTAATGGGTCTTGTGAGTTACTCTGTTTTTACAAAGACACCATCTGTTCAGAATATAGTTGTTTCATGAAGTTCAGTTAAACAGGTTACTTAGCAAATTTTTGGTAAATTAATATTGATTTTAATAGGTAATTCAGATTCCCTAGATGTGGCATCTGCATTTGCTGATTTTACCTAGTATATTCTAAAGTATCACTTCTATTGCACTAGATTATCAAAGAGGTATTAGTAAAATGCTATATAAGGGTGTTGGCATTAACTTTACCCCCAGTTAGATACAGGCTTTTCCAAAAAATAAAAACAAGCCTTTACCCTCCTCTGTTTTCTTTTCTCTACTGATAAAATAATATAAATTAAAAACAAACCAAAACCAAATATTGATACTATAACTGGTATTAAGCTCTGGGCCAGGTTGGAAATGAAATCAATTTTTGGTACTAATAACTGATGACAAAGCTTAGTTTTATGAAAATATGGTGTGTGTCTCTGACAATGCATAGGACATCTAATTTGAACATAAATAAATGATTATATACAAGATGTATCTATTCCTGGATGGTAAAAGCTTGAGGTGTATATAAATACATATGTGTGTATATATATGGACATGTACACAAGGATGTATCAACCTTTTACCATCCAAATGCATACATTGTTTTCAACAATAAAAGCTGGGACTCTTAAAGAAACAAACAAAAACAAAAATAAAGATAAGATTGCTGTGAATACAGTATATGCACTAGGTCTCCTGTAAATGTGGAACTGTTTGTTATTGTTCTCTGCATTGAAAAACAGTCTCCAACACAGACCCCAATGAATCTTAGATGTTAAAGAAAATACCAATGAACAAACAGCACTTGAAGGCTGTTTGTGTCAACAAAATGTGTCTAGTAAAATAAATTTAAAGCACATGCAAGGAAAAATAAAAATGTGAAGTCGTTCCATTCAATGAGAGACTCTTAACTGACAGTCAGATCTCTACCACTTCTCAAGGAGAGGTTCCTTCTGACTCCACAAACATTTTCAGTCAGTCTGGCAAACATGTGCAAATGTTTGGCTGTTTTGTTGAGGCATCTTTTTGTCCATGGAAGAAATGCTTCCATGCTGATGGCAGTGGAAATAGAATATCTGCATTTTTAAAGGACAAACAATAAATTTAAGCATGGGTGGCCTTAATCCTTAGTAGTTTTTCTTTGCTGCTGTTAAAAAAAAAAGAAAAAAAGAAAAAAAAAGGAAAAAAAATTAAATGGATACTCCTAAAGTCTTGCACTGAATTTAGAAAAATTATTTTTTGAACCTGTGGTGCGATTAACCCTAAACATCCTACATGAGCCATACATAGTAATCCCCTTAAAATTATTGTCTAGAAATGATGTTTTATTTATTTGTACCATGATTCTCGGTGCAATCAAGGAGCAATTTATTTGAGCAGGAGTCCTGCTGGATGTGACTGTCTTCAGTAAATAGAATAAAATGTATAGAATTAGCATAGCGTAGATAATCCCAATTTCATTCATGTTTAAAAAGTTTGTCCTTTAACTATCAACGGCATTTTAAATCTTTGTTTTTGAAACAGCAAAGCTTTTGGGAGTATATTTAGCACATATGACAAATGTTGCACTTGGAAACTCAGACAACAAAACAGGTTTCTCATGACAAATTTGTTGTCGCAGTAGGGGACAATCGTCTGTGTCTCTTACAATCAGGTCTTTACCTTAACTCTGCAACCGAATACTTGAAGTAGGATTTAAACTAGGGGGAAATAGGGTCACAGATACAAAGCTGTATAGTTAGATATTTATATGTATGTGCCAATTTTGTCACAGATATTATTTTAGGGGCATTTTTGCTCCACTCATGTTGGTATGAGTATTGATCTAAACTTTTATCAGGGCCTAAAAGTTAGCCCCTAAAGAGGAAAATTTTGTCTAACATTGATTTTTTTCCTTCTTGCTTTTTTTTTTTTGTGGTTTTTTTTTTTTCTCCTTCTTTTCATTTCATGTGATATTCTATGACGTTTGGAGAAAATCTTTTCATATCCTAAAATAGAATCTCGGGGTTTACAATAAACACTGTGATGTTGGGAAATATTTTATTTGAGCAATGTTTGGTAGATTTTTTTTTCCCCCCTCCTCTGAGTGTAATGAAGCAAACCAACTTTTGCTTAACATTTAAGATAATGGTTATTATTTTAATGTGAGATCAGTCTTGTACTGCACATTCTTTCTTTCATTTAAATGTACAGTATGAATTTTGTATTTAATGAATTTTGTGTATCCAGTATGCACGTACCTGCACATTGACTTTCATTTGAAAGTGGGTTTCGATTTCCTTTTTAAACAGTGTTTATGAAAAGACCTCAGATGTGTTGACACAAACTATATCCGCAATGTTTCTTTTGTGTGTGTAGGGTGACGTTTGAATGTGATGTTCTGCAGCAATGGGTCAGTATCCCCTATTTACCTTAGATCCTCATTTGATAGTGCTTCTTGTAATAATTTTTTCAAGTGAGTGGCATGTTCTGGATTGTGATATTGATATATGGTTAAGGACATTGATATGAAACTAAGGAATTCCTAGAAATTACCAGTGGGCATGTATTAGACAGTCATTGTAATTTAATGTCTCGTAGAAGTGTAAAGTACCAAGGTATTTAGAGTTCATAACATTGTTATCATGTGTATGGGAAGTATTTAGTGTTGATCAGCTTGTTTATTTTCATCAAATAAACTTTGTTTCTTTCTGAAATCAGTGTTGTGTCATTAAAAGCAGGTTTAATGACTGTAGGAAAATGTGTGAGAGATGTTTTCCACATGGTAAATCTATCACACTCCTTATTTCTCTAATTGCTACCATTCAAAGTAATTTATCTTCCTGTTGTTACTATCACATAAACTGTTTAAGAAAGCATAAAAAGGAAAATGTCTCGTAGGCCCCACTCCCAGAAATGCTTACGAGCAACTTTACTAAAGTGAGGAACCATTTTCTGGATTGGGCTCTTACAGAGCAATGTGCTTTTGAGTGGGTTTCTAAAACATAATATTCTTGTGTGACCCCGTGTAATTGCATAGAAAATTACATTTTGTTTATGTGCTTTACTGACCAAAAGCCATAAGGTGTGAAATTCTCTGCACAGTCAGCTCCTTTTTCAGCTGCCTGGTAAGTGGTTCCCCGTTTCCATTATGTTCACTTTTTTTAGAAAAGGAACTTTTGTTGACCAGGAATTTCTTACCTCATAGAAGTCCCTGGCCCAGCTCAGGGCACACACAGCAGGAGAATAAAAGGTAAGTAAGTATGCATTTTACTTAGCTTATTTAAACCACACAGTCTCTTAGTTTTAAGCTCTGTTTCTTTACCTATAAATTAGTTTTCTTTCGTAAGAGGGTACTCTGCACTAACATAGGATATTAAGTTTCACTTTTAACTACAGCTAAATATACATTTATTGTGTATTCTCTTTATGCCTACTTAGCTTTGAGCTGCAATGGTACAAGTTGAGTAGCAGTAGCTTCTATCTTCTTTCCAGACCTGCACCAATTATTTGGAGCAGCTTGCTCTGTGTTCTGCTGATGTCTGTATCAGGGGCTTCCCATCCTATTGGAGACACATTTTTGATTCTATTTTCAGTATTGATCACTTTAAAGGCAGCTCCTGCTTCCCCACCTGGTGACAGGGACAGCAGATGCCAATGTGGCTTACTAAGGAGCTGGAGAGAACCACAGTGGGTTTGGGGAAACTGTCAAAGGCCCTTACAGCCTATTTTCTGTAAGATGGTTTTCAGTAAGGATCTTTCCTCTGTAAAAAGTGGCTGTGAGGGCCCCAGGGGAGGGGTAGGACCAGCATGTTTGTGTCTCTGGGTGCTGCAGAGTTGGGGAGCTCCCCAGAGGGCAACTCTGGGTGCAGGAACATCTTCACTGATGTTGAAATTTGAGTTCATACAGTCAGGAGCTCCTCCAGCTCTGAGAGAGCCTGATTAAGGATTGGGCTTTTCTGAGCTTGAGGTTTCCTCCTCCTCACTCCAGACTTGAGCCAGAGTAGCTCCAGGTTTAAGCAAGCAGAAGTATAAGCAGTGGGGGATGCTCAGGGGATGAAGCTGTGTCAGCTTGCATTTCAAGCCAACATGTCAATTAAGACAGATTTTGAGAGTCCCAAAAGCTCCATGCCAGCACGAGCTGGATAAAGCTGAACTCCTACTGCATCCCAGGTTGTTCACACTGTGCTCAAGGTCCAGGATTTGTTCCTGGAAAAGCCTCACTAACCAGCACACACTGGGTCTGCCCCGTGCAGAAACCTGTCAGAAAGTACAGAACAGAGTGGCAAGGAAGGGCGTGTCACCTGTTGATATTCCTTCTCCAAACCACGAAACTTTTAATAACCAAAGTATTAAATCATTCTAAATAAAGCCAAGTGAGTTCTAAATAAGTAATGCATTTCCCATTATGAAATCAGTGGGAGCTCTGCACATTGCCAGGGCATGATTTGACCCACAGATGAAAAGTACAGCTGATGAGGGACTGCTGTGCAGATTTTCCTCCTGTGAGATTACAGTGATGTTATTTCATGCTCATAACTTTCCAAATAAGATACCTCTTTTTCAAATGCACCTTTTCAAACAAGAGGCAACCTCTGCCTTCATCAGGAATAGCCCAGGGCACATTGTTTCAGCTTTTATATGAGGTTGGAGGCACTGGTGCACTAGAAGCCCACCCTTGACGGATGCAGTTGCAGAATCAAGGACTAATTTTGTTTGGGTTTGCATTCCTTCCACTCTTTGCTCTTGAAAATGACTCTTTCTTCAGAATGAGGCTGTTCTAACCCCAAATCTCCACAGATGCAGGCAAAGAGCAGGCACAATGCCAGTGCATCCTAAAGACAATGCATTGTATCCCTTTGAAACATGCACTCGAATTTGTGTTACAGACAGTTGTCTATTCCCACGAAGCTGCGAGTCTCAGGACAAAAAGGAGAACTTTGAACTCATCCAGTTTCAAATGGAGGCCAGTGTCCAACTTTCAAAAGGCTGTGCTTTTGGTGCTCACCCCAGCAAGGCCAGCAGACAGCAGATGTTCTGGCAGCTGCAGCTGCCGTGCACTCGGGGAGCTGGGGCTGGAGGAGAGCAGCCAAGCTCCCTCCAGATGGAGCAGCCAGGGAAGAGGCGAGTGGGAGGCTGCACAAGGAAGTCAGATAGCTCCAGATAGCAATGGACTGATGATATGTGGCTCCAGAGCACCTAACCAGCTTGGCAGGGGCTGCACAAGAGAAATCAGCACCAATCCACAGCTAACCTGGGCCCAGTGAGAAGCCTTCTTGCCGTGGGAAAATCGATAGGGAGGAATATCTGTGCAGAACACATGATAATGGAGCATGGTAACTACTTTTTATTTGAATGTAATTTGGACAAATGCATTACTCATAAGTGAGTTATCCAGAGCTTGCCAAATATGTGGTTAAACAGTTATTATAGCAAATTACACCATCATCTAAACACCTCTGTTTTGGCTCTTAGTTGTCTCCTTTTGCAATGAGGTTGTATTTTTTCTCTAGATTGTTGTCTAATATTGCTGTTCTTTACTGGTTTGGTTGCCATAGAAATAAATAATGACACAAACAACAACATGCATACAAGTGAATAAGAGCATTTTCTGAATTTCACAAGTAGAACACCCTTGTTAATGAAGACCTCTATGGTTGCATAGTTCTTAACACAGTTCTCATGTCTATTGATTCATGTCCTCATATGCATTTTATTATGGGCTTTATATTTCATTTTAAACTTCCAAAAATAAAGAAAAACAGCTGAAGTACATTTTTTTTTAAATGGCCAGATTTTGGTTAGAGGTTAACACAGGCCAAAAGAGAACACAGATCTGCCCCCAAGCTCTTGCAGTTTTGTTTTTTTTTAATAAAAAATCCTTATTACAATCCACAAAGGGTCACAAAAATGCAGCCATTACAGACCAGCCCTATTCCTTGTGCAGCTCTCCTGCCCTCTGCACCTTCTCCAGGCTTAGATCAGCCAAATGTGTGAAGGCAGGACTGTTGTCAGTCATGATAAGCGTGTGCATTAAGGGGCTAATCCACACTTTACTGAAGTGAAATGAAAGTCCATTGATTAAAAGTAAATTTCTGATTGTAACCCACTTTCTTCTTTCTGAAGCAAATGTGTACATTTACAGGAACATGGGGCCAAACTGTTTCCTCTGTACATCAAAATTCCAGCTAAATGTAAGTCAGATGAACAGACTGCCTGACATTTTGAATGCTTTGTGATAAGAAAATAGATCTTGGGTCTCATTACTGAAGTTCATTTACAGTGTATTTTGTCTATAGTTGTCCTGTGTGTGTATCTAGGCCAGCACTCAACTCCTACTGACTCTTAACACAATCTTTCCTTGTGGTGCCTTTACATTGTGAGCACTTATCTCATTGAATTTGTTTTAATTTAATAAGTATCATTCAGTCCATTGGTTACTTTGCTATTGCTAAAGGTAGGTCTGCTGTTGCCTAGAGGAGTAAAATGCATTTTTTTAGGAGTCTGTTTTCTAAAACAAATTAAATTCTGAGCAATCTTCAGGAGAAAGAAGAGGCAGCCCCCCCCCCACCATAATTATTAACTCCCAGGACTGTCCATGTAGGCGGTTTCTAGAGGATTTGTTCCAATTCTGATGCCATTCACCATGTCAGAGTTGTTCTCTCTGAAGTTAAACAACCAGTCTCCGTATCTGAAAGCTGGAGGTTGTAAATCTCCCTTGTGAATGTTGCCCATGACAGGGAAGGAAAGACTTGCATAATTACCACTTGTACTTCCTCAGAGAACATGAGCTCAAGTCTAAAGCAAGGAGTTTGGTCAATAAAACATCAGAGTCTGAAAACTACAGGAAAAGACCTGTCCAGCTCATATGATAAGAATTTTTTTCTGGGTTAAAAGAAAATTAATATTTCAGAGGAAGCCACTTGCTCAGACCTGATTATTTTTCAGATATTCTTAATTTTTTCTTCAAGGTTACCATAAGTTAATGCAATTCATAGCTAAAATTAACTGAAATGTCTTACAATCTTCCTTCTCTAATTATATCCAGTACAGCAGACTGGATATAATTATTCTGCTAAAACACAGAGAACCATTTCCTAAGCTGACTGTAAATGTTACTATATTCAGTAGTGTCTGTGAAGCAGGTTACAAGTTTAAAATCAGGATGCAGGAGAGGTGCCTTGTTCCCACGCTACTGAAGTCAGAAGGAATTACCCTCAGTCCTTCTCCAGTGAGTGAGGGATATCAGTGCTTGGTATTTGGGGCTATAATTGGTCAGATAGCTTACAGAAGAATACAAGTACTCATGTGAGCAAATTTTTACAGGACTTAGAGCTTGAAATCAATTATAAATGCATTTGGGTTAATGTGAATGCTCGTGGTCAAACTGGTACCTTTTCACAGCAATCTTTGTCCACATCTGTTCTCTACATGGGTCACAGGGAAAGATTTGGGTTAAAATGTTTATGCATTGCTGCTCTTCTCCACTGCTTTTTCTACTTCCTGCACTGCTTTGCACATTTTTTAGCTCTAAATTCCCTCCCATAGAAGTTCCATATGCAGTCTTTGAAAACTTCTTCATGAAGGAAGCCTGTGATTCTTCAGCTGCTTTGCCATCTTCTCTGGGGGTGCACAGAGAACTTGGCATGAGGCAGGAGGCACCTAAGGTAAGACTGGCTGAAATTAAACACAAGCTTCAGACTCTGATTACCCATGT